TATATACATATATAAAAAACTAAATCACTTTGATGCACACCAGAAACTAACACAACATTGCAAATCAAACAAAAAAAGAAAGAAAATTTCAAAATATAAAATCACACCAGTAAGGGCAAACTTACAGAAAAGGCAGGAAATCATTCACATACAAAACCAGTAGGGAGGTTAAAAGACAAAAGCAGTACAATCACTTGTATCGACAATGAGCAGTTCAGGGATATACAAAACAATTAAATGTAAATTATGATATCAAAGACAGTAATTGTGAGAGAATACAAATGCAGGATATTTAAAGTGCATTTGAAAGTATGAGATCAGCAATTTAAAACAATCACATTCGTATATAGACTGCTAAAGAAAAACCTCATGTTAACTGCAGACCAAAAATCTAAACTAGGTATTCACAGAAAAAAAAAGGGGGGGGGGGCGGGATCCAAACATAGCACTAAAGATATCATCAAATCACAGGAGGAGAGAACAAAAAAAAAATTTATAAAAACAAATCCAAAACTATTTATAAAATGGCAATAACAACATACACAATTACGTTACATGTAAATAGACTAAATGCTCCAACCAAAAAACAGACTGGCTGAATGGATACAAAAACAAGACCCATATATATATGCTACAAGAGACTCACTTCATATCTAGTCTCACATATAGAATGTAAGTAAGGGAATGGAAAAAGGTATTCCATGGAATTAGAAATCAAAAGCCAGAGAATAGTTGAATCATGCTAAATAGACTTTAAAATAAAGACTGTTACAAGAGACAAAGACAGAAACTACATAACAATCAAGGGATCTATCCAAGAAGAAGACATAACAATTCTAAATATAGGTGCACCCAATATAGGAGCACCTCAATATATAAAACAAGTATTAACAGACATAAAAGGAAAAATTGACAGTAACAATAGGGTAGTATAACAACCCACTTACGTCAATGGATAGATGATCCAGACAGAAAAATAACAAGGAAATACAGAACTTAAATAACACATTAGACCAAATGGACTTAATTGATATTTAACTGATTAATTGATTACATAGGAAAGCAGCAGAATATACATTCTTTTCAAGTGCACATGGAACATGATCCAGGATAGAGCACATGCTGGGCCAAAAAGCAAACCTCAGTAAATTTAAGAAAATTGAAATTAAATCAAGCATTTTTTCCAACCACATTATGAGACTAGAAATCCAACTACAAGAAAAAAAACACAAACACGTAGAGGCTAAATGGCATGCTACTAAACAACTAATGAATCACAGAAAAAAATAAAGACAAAAATCAAAAAATACCTAGTCAAATGAAAACGAAAACAGAACGATCCAAAACCTACAGAACTCAGTAAAAGCAAGTCTAAGAGGTAATGTACAGTAACACAAGCTTACCTTGGGAAACAAGAAAAATCTCAAATAAAAAAACCTAATCTTACACCTACAGCCACTAAAGAAATAAGAACAAACAAAACCTACAGTTAGTAGCAGGAAAGAAAAAAAATCAACATCAGAGGAGAAATAAATGAAATAGAGAGTAAAAAGAAAACAATAAAAAAGATCAATGAAAATAAAAGCTGGCTCTCTTTGAAAAGGTAAACAAAACTAATAAACCTTTAGCCAGACTCATTAAGAAAAAAAGGGAGAGGGCCCAAGTCAATAAAATCAGAAATGAAAAAGTAGTTACAACCAACACCACAGAAATACCACAGATTATAAGAAATCACTATGAGTGATTACACATCAGTAAAATGGACAACCTAGAAGAAATGGACAAATTCTTAGAAAGGCACAATCTCCCAAGATTGAACCAGGAAGAAACAGAAAACATGAATAGACCAATTACCACTACTGAAATTGAATCAATAATTTTTAAAAAATCCCAACAAACGAAAGTCTAGGACCAGATGACTTCAGAGGTGAATTCTACCAAACATTTGGGGAAGAGTTAACACCTACCCTGAAACTATACCAAAAAATTACACTTCTAAATTCACTGCATGAGGCCACCATCACCCGGATACCAAAACCAAAGATATCACAAAAAGAGAAAATTACAGGCCAGTATCACTGGTGAACATAGATGCAAAAATTATCAACAAAATACTAGCAAACCGAATCCAACAATACATTAAAAGGATCATATACCATAATCAAGTGGGATTTATCCTTGAGGTACAAGGATTTTTCAATATCCACAAATTAATCTACGTAATACACCACATCAGCAAATTGAATAAAAACCATCTGATCATTTCAGTAGATGCAGGAAAAGTTTTTGATAAAATTCAATATCCATTTATGGTAAAAACTTTCAGAAACTGGGCACAGAGGGAACATTCCCAACATGATAATGGCCTTATATGACAAACTCACAGCTAACATCATACCCAATGGTGAAAACTGAAAGAATTCTAAGATCAGGAACAAGACAAGAATGTCCCCTCTCACCACTTTATTCAACACAGTTTTGGAAGTCCTAGCCACAGCAATCAAAGAAAAAAAAATTTTTTAATCCAAACTGAAAAGGAAGTAAAACTGTCACTCTTTGCAGATGACATGTTACTATACATAGAAAATCCTAACGTTGTCACCAGAAAGTCACTAGAACTCATCAATAAATTTGGTAAAGATTCAGGATACAAAATTAATATACAAACATGTGTTGCGTTTTTATACACCAACAACAAAATATAAGAAATTAATAAAACAATTCCGTTTACCATTGCATCAAAAAGAATAGCTACAGTAATCTAAACAGTATGGTACTGGCACAAAAACAAACACACAGATCAATAGAAGAGAATAAAAAGCACCAAAATAAACTTACACACTTGTCGTCAATTAGTCTACAGAAAAGGAGGTAAGAATATACAATGGAGAAAAGACAGTCTCTTCAATAAGTGGTGCTGGGAAAACTGGACAGCAAAATGTAAATGAAATTAGAACATTCTCTAAAACCATTTACAATAATAAACTCTAAATGGATTACAGACCTAAATGTAAGACTGGATACTGTAAAACTAGAGGAAAACATAGACAGAACACTCTTTTTGACATAATCCCAGCAACAGATTTTGGATCTGTCTCCCAGGGTAACAGAAACAAAAGCAAAAATAAACAAATGGGACCTAACTAAACATAAAAGCTTTTGCACAGCAAAAGAAACCATAAACAAAGCCAAAAGACAACCTATGGAATGGGAGAAAATATTTGCAAATAATGCAACCGATGAGGGCTTAACTTCCAAAATATACCAACAGCTCACACAGCCCAACATTAAAAAAAAAAAAAAGGATTAAAAAATGGGCAAAAGACCTACATAGACATTTCTCTAACGAAGACATATAGGTGACCAACAGCCACAGGAAAAGATGCTCAACACTGCTAATTATCAGAAAAATGCAAATCAAAACTACAGTGAAGTATCATCTCACACTGGTCAAAATAGCCATCATCAAGATGTCTACAAATAATAAATGCTGGAGAGGGTGTAGAGAAAAGTGAACCCTCCTACTCTGTTGGTAGGAATGTAAATTGGTGCAGCCACTATGGAAAACAGTATGGAGGATCCTTAAAAACTAAAACCAGACTTAGCACAAGATCCAGCAATCCCACCCTTGGGCAAATAGGTGGAAAAGACAAAAACTCTAATTAGAAAAGATACATCTAGCCCAATGTTCATAGCAGCACTATTTACAACAGCCAAGACATGGAAGCAACATAAATGTCCACTGACAGACAAAGAGAGAAGGAAGAAGTCTGTGTGTGTATTGTGTTGTGTGATGTATTCCACTCACACATGGAATATTATTTAGCCATTAAAAAGAAATAATGCCATTTTCAGCAAAATGGAGGGACCTAGAGATTATCATAATAAGAGAAGTTAGAGAAAGACAAATATCATATTGCTTATATGAGGAATCTTAAAAAAAATACAAATGAATTTACAAACTTCTGGTTACCAAAGAGGAAGGCAAGGAGGGATTAATTAGGAGTTTGGGATTAACAGCTACCTACTACCATATACAAAACAGATCAACAACAAGGAGCTACTGTATAGCACAGGTAACAATATTCAATATCTTATAATAACACATAATGGAAAAGAATCTGAAAAACAACACACATATACATGTACATATACATATATATAAAACTAAATCACTATTGTACTCCAGAAAATGACTATACTTCAATTAAAAAACAAAACAAAACTTACCCAGATTGAACTGATAGAAAATAATTTTCATTTTTTCTTTAAAAATGATTTTTAGTTACCTACAATAGTAATCCATGTGAATCCCAGGGTGTATAGTTCTTAAAAATTTCCAAATTACATAATTAAATAACTCTACAAAGAAAGCTAAGGAAGAAAGATACATACCATAAGCTTTTGCCCTGGTTCAGGGCAGAAAATAACAAAATCTGCTTCAATGTTAAGATGAATGTGTCCTTGATCATCATAAATATCTCCTAGTTCACCCACTACTTTGATATTATCATAAGCAATGGGTACACCTAAAAGGCTGTAAAATTAAAAAGGGAGAGAGAGAGAGAGAGAAGAAAATGGTATTTTTTAATCCTCTTTTAAACTAGGCCTTTATCATACTGATTAGATATTCGGAGTCAAAAGTATACATCTCCTAACATAATCACCCACAGCAAAAACATAATAGTAATTTCATCAAAGGGTTACAACATAATGACTAACTTAAAAATAATTATTCAAGATAGATATCCAGAAACAAAATGTCCAATTATGCAACAGCAGTAAGTTGATTCTTCCTTAATTGCTACTCATTTGAATTCTAGTCACACTAGAGTTAAAGAAAAAATGAGACTCGGCAAAAAAAAAAAAAGTCTATTTCTGTATTACTGACTCAAGCCAATTTTGGTATTATCCATCATTATCAAATTTCTATACTAGGTGGTATATAGCAAGAAAAGTATTTGGGTCAAAGCTGAAGAAGCCCCTGAATATTAAAGTCAATGACTTAATGGAGAAATGTCTCCAAACTGCAACTGTCTTATTAAAAAAAATATTAAGAAATACAGCTATACAATTTCTTTAGAACTGACTGACACTTTAGATAACATATGTTGACTGTCAGGATTAAGAGGCAAGTATTTCCAAATGTCATTTCCAAATTCTTAAAAAATTACAAATGCTAAGGATACTGAGCTGGTGGCTTCCCTGCCATAGCCACTTGTTCTAGAAAACGTCCCGACTCCCCCAGGCAAGGCTGAAATCACTCCTCCTCTACTCCTATAGGATTCTATGCAAAGTATTATCACTGCTCTTATTTATCTGATCCCTGTTTAAGTTTGGATTCCAGACAGGACTCTTAAGTCCCTTCAGAGCAGAGAACATTTTTGTTGAACTCTATTAACTTCTAAAATGAGTCACACAGAATGAGAGAGAATTTATCCCTAGTAGCAGTTGTTAAAGTAAAACAGACAGGAGCCACTAGAAAGGAACTTTATTAACTACCAAATTAGGAAACCTTATTCCAGAAAGCACTCTTTTGAACTGCTAATTTTTGCATGTGGTTTTCTTCAACAGGAACCATACCATCACTAAGACAGTATTTGGGGCCCAGAAAACAGAGCAAGGTGGGATGGCAAAAAAAAAAAGTAACCGCAATAATAAAAACAAAATTAAGTAGCTCATGGTGAAAAAGAATGTGAAAATGAATATATGCATATTCATGTATGACTGAAACATTGTGCTCTACACCGGAAATTGACACAACATTGTAAACTGACTATAACTCAATAAAACAAAATTTTAAAAAAAGGAAAAGAAAATCAAGACTTTGTTTCCCCTAATCAAAAATTAGAGAGTGACTCTCAAGTAGGGGGAATGTTGTCCCCTAGGAGGCATTTGGGAGTTTGCAGAACTAATCATAGTTGTCTCATGGGCAAAGTCCAGGGATGGGAGATACTCTGCCATGAAAAATGTTCCTAGCTCTACATGATTTAAATGAGAGGACAAACTTCATTTCATAAATATTTATAAACAATGGGTCACATTATCTAACTTAAATATGTATGTACACATTTATATATAAATATAAAGTCATCTTTGCATGCTTTCAATATAAACTAAAATTTCCAGGAATATTGCTAATATGTAAATTCAAGAGTAGATTGTTTTGTGTGGAACTATACTGAGAACTGCTCATTATTTTAGAATAGGATTTCACCACTGTAGACACTGTGTTATGTGAGTTGTCAACTCAAAACTTCTGCATCAATCTACATCTGCAACGGATATGTTCACAATGATTCTAGGTATAGGTGCAAGAGGCATCTACTACTTTATTCTTCCCAGTTAGTCATGCTTGAGCATTATCACACTGAAACATATTTTACTATATTGTATTAGAGCGCTATATGAATTTTTTTCAATTGTGTAGATAGGTTGTTATCTTTGCATTTCATTTCAGTACAGTGAAGAGAGTTTTCAATGATAGTAAAGGCAGTACTGCAAAATACTTCTTATAATAGGAAGCCCTGGGTTCTATAGGGTTCAAATCTGCTGACTAGGGAATGTGACCATAAAGCCTAACCCCAAAAGGATTTGTGTAAACCTAGCAAACTTGGGAAAGCAACTCACAGCATATAACTTACTAAAAATTATCAGGTAGACAACGACAGACACAACATTGTATCTCTTCCTCTTTTGTTTTTCTGAAACCATCCTAAATAGGTTTCAGGGCAAGGTGGTGGGCAATATCACTTAAGATATTTAGAGAACAATTAAATTCAGGGACGCTTAGATTGCACAGTTACTTTTCTGGAACTACTAGGAGGGAATATAATTGCCACCTTCAAATAACTCAAGAGCTGTCATTTACAAAAGAGCTAAGATTTTTTTGTTCCTTAATAACTTCTCAGAGATATAACTTACGTGATTTTAGAAAACTGCTTACTTTCTTTAAGCAGACTTTCCAAAACTGAAACAGGATGATCTTTTAAAAAATTCTGTCACTGAGGGAAAAGGTGGACAATCCGTCAGAGGATGCTGTTGAGATAACCTAGTAACTAATATGAAAGCCACTCTCAATTCTTCTCTTTTCCTCATCTTAAACAAAGAGTAGCATGTCCTTCTGATTCTACAGAATGGCCCCCAAATCTGGAAACATAAAACTATATATGAAAAATGGTTGATCAGTATTACAGTTCTTGGTATGTTCAGTGTTTTATCCCTCACTAGTAATGCATAGTTCAAAGTATAGTGTTTGATATGCACAGAATAAACTGGAGTTTTTAGCACACCTCAGAAGTAATGGGAGGTAGGGTGGGGAGTCCATATCTGCTCAGGGTATGATCTGGGCCACATGGCCACAATGTCCATTTCAGTTATAGAAATGATCATCATTCAATCAGCTCCTCATCTCTGGTGGAATGGCTCCTATTCCCCTAGTCTGAAATGGATGTATTAATCAGTTACAGGATCAAACATTTGCCTCTGTTTCCAGATTTTATGACCACCTTGCATATCCTTAAATCTCCCAAATCTATCCTCTCTAATCATTTTTCTCTTGAACAGTTATAACAATCTCTTAATTGTTCTCCATATTTATTTGTCTCACCCTCCTTAAACCATCATCTAGTGCTAACAAGTGCTGTTTCTTAAACTGCAAATGTGATTACATCCCAGACATCACGGTACCACCGTCTCAAAAGTGTGCCAAGTTTCAGAGGAGAGCACTGAGAGGATGAAGTGCGAGCCCGGCTCCCTGCTTAAGTACACAAAACAAACAACAAAAACCCAAAACACCTGGCAAAGACAGGAAGGGAAGAGCAAAATGGCCATCCTCTCTGAATTGTCCTCCAGCCCATCTTTAATCCACTGCCCTTCTCTCCAGCAGCACCCAATGTCTTTCTTTCCCCTATGTAAACCTTACTCTGATTATATAGTACTTAAAATTATCTGGTCAAAGTATCCTGACTACAAGGAGAGAGAAAGCTCTCAAATAACCTTTGAGCTCAAAAAAGGGAGAGCAAATGAAGAAAAAGACCTGTTAATCTTCCCCACCTGAACGTTCTGGCCCTCACTCCCTTCTGGCAGACTCCTTAAAATGAGACCACTGAGTCCAGTGACTTGAAGGCTTTCACCGGAGGCCCCGGCTCCACACAGCTGAGAGCTGTTCCAGGGTTGCTGCCCAAGGCCCTGTGGGAACAGAGGGTGACTTCCCACTCATGCTTGTAGCCAGACTCGTTGCTAGACCAGAGACCACTGCTCGTGCTGAGACGCCTTCTTCCCAAACTTCTCCTGAGAGTGGGTCGTTACCACCCTCCCCTTCCCTCTACTCTGACTAACCTGTGTTGTGTATTACGTGCAATAATCGCAGTGATTCACTATTGGGAAAAAAAGAAGTTTTGAAAAACAGTATTGAAAACTTTGGATATTTGGTTTAAGAAAAGTGACAAAGAAAATTCCTGCAATTTCCATGGATTCACTAAATTCCTGAGGGGCAATAACGAACCCCCAGAGAATCCATTTACCCTAGTTTTAGAACCCCTGCTTTCCAGGCAAGTAGTCTAGAGGACTATTAAAGCATATCTGCCCCCTCCCCCTGGTCCTCCACCATTGTAATTCTGAGAGTTTAAGTTATTTTCGAATATCTTAAATATCTTTAAATGCATCAGGGTTTTTTTTTCACGTTCAAAAGCAACAAAGAGGCTCTCAAAAATAAAAAGCAAAGTATTTCTCTCATCCCTGATCAGGTCCAAGAGAAAAGAACCCAGGGAAAGTACCAGAGACAAAACATTCAACAAAAGCCGCCTTTCGTGGTTTACAAATAAACGACTGTACTAATGCTTCGAGTATAATTTTCTATAGAGTGAAAGAGAATCTTCTGAAGTACTGCATTCCAAACTTTCACTGTCAAATGAGAAAACATAAAGAGGCCCAACCGGTCTCCAGCCCCAGGTCTCTTCTTACCCTTAAACCCCGGTTCTGGAGCGCGCTTCTTTACTCCTTACACCGACACAGTTCGAGTCATCTTAACGTTTTCTTTCTTGCTAACGAAAGGGACCCCGTACAAATCTTGACCAGGGAAGAAACTGGCCCCTCAAGGTGGTAGCGACTCCAGAATGCCTCCGGGCTAAGCTCACGGCCGGTGCACGTTTCCCACTAGCCGCTTTTCTGCTGCGCCATTAGTACGTACACCTGGGGACCCTCCCGTGCCCCAACGAAGGAGCGGTAAGCAACGTTACGGTGTTCTCCGCTCGGCGAAAGAAAATCCTAAGAGACTCATACCTCTCGGAATAGCGCAGCAGTTCCGCATCCAGTTGTTCTCGGATACCGGTGCGTTTCCTGTTAAGGTAGCGCGGGGACAGTGCGATGTGTCTTCGGTGCGGCCCCGCCACCAGGCAAGAGTAGCGGCTGTTCACGAGCGCACAAGCGGTAGCGTAGGTCGGCAGTTCTAGGCAAGGCAAGACGCCGGCCGGCCCCACCACCGGCCCTTCTGAGGCCGCCTTCGGCCGTGGAGCCTCTGAGCAACCCGCAGCCATGCGGCTTGTCAGGCTTCCTACGGCGCGCACTAGTGACGCATTCAACAACCGCCTATCTCCGGACGCCCGATTTCTACGTCATCCATCAGCTACCACGCCCCTAGGAAATTGCCTCTCCTTGCGCTGCAGTACGCAGTTCTGACCAGCAGGGGGAAACCGCTTTTTCACACTTAGATGATTCAGGAGCTAGGAGCCCGTGGGTAAGCACTGAGCATGCTCGAAGGCCAAATGTCCCCCTCGTCTCTTAAGGGCGCACAGACCTATATTTTCGCTAATGTCCTCAGTGGATTTAATAGGGGTTCACACTTTGATCATATCCAGTAGTAAGGTGCGTTTGGTAGGTTTTACAAGCTTGGACGGTACAATAATAAATCTTTAAATGTTTACGGAATATATTTTCTGCAGGAATACATTCCCAATCTTAAAATGTAGCCCAGATATCTCAAATGCACCTCCTCTGAAAACAAACCCATCATCTCTCTCCAGTCCAGCTTCTCTCCTTATTCTGTAATCACTAATTCAGGAACTCATACCGCCGCTTTCCAAATGACTTAGTCCAGCTGTCATCCCAGGTGCCGCTCGTGTACCCCTAAACATCAAATTAGCTCCAAAGCCTGTGGGGACCCAAGCCGAAACGTCAGTCTATTCGGACACTTCTTTCCGTGTTCGATTCCAAAACTATAGAACTGCCTGTGGAAGTTTAGCTTTATGGTCAGAAGGACCCTGGCGCCTCCAGATCCCCGAAAGACAGATAACGACCATAACTTGCCGGTTTAAACCTCCATACAGGCGACCCGTTTTCCTCAGGATAACTCCTTAATACGGCTCTTAAATTACCAGGCCACTTTATGATTTGCGCCCAGCGTTTTCATTCACCAGGCCCCACTTTACTATCTGTGAGCCCCACCTATGCTCAGTGAGCCACTTTCAGCCCACTCTTTCCCCTCCGCCTCCCTCTCTCTTTCCCGCTCTCTCCTTCTCTCTCCAGTCTCACACTGTTGCTTCTACCTAGGAATAGGGTAGCTTTTCTCAAATAAGAAACTTCTTATCAGGTGTCAAATTTTAACTTAGATTTTGCATTCTCTTTCTCTGCAAAGTTTACCACCACCCTATTCTCTTTCCCACGAAGTGATTAAGTAGTTCCCCCCTTTGTAAATTACCACCATCAAGCTCTTGTTTTATGTTAATTTTATGTTAATTGCCTGTTTGTTCCCCTGTTCCTGACCTAGACCCTTAGCTCACTAAGGCTGGGACTATGTTATCAGTCTTGTTCACCACTGCAACCCCTATATGACTGGAACAAATGATAAAATAAAATTTGTATTTTATAGCAGGACAAGAAAATTTTAAACATAAGAATTTTCTCTGCTAGTTTGGGCCTCCTCCCTCCCCTTTAGTGTGTATTGTGCATCTGCAGTAACCAGACCTCCGCAGGAGATAACCTTCTTAATCCTCTAAGGGGTCATGATGACCCACTACTCACTTTGTAGATGCATATCTGGATTGTGTAAACTGTCAATCCATCATCTGATGTATAACCCTTTGTCTCAAAAATGTATATAATTCTGCTTTGCTGTCTAACAGGCAGAACAGTCCTCGGAGCTTTCTAAAAGACTGTCCCAGGTTATAATTATCAGATTGGATCAAGTAAGATTTTCCATTTCTTTCTTGGATCGACTATTGATTAATTTTTTCATGGACACCATGCATCTGAAATGAATGAATGAAATAACAGGTTTATCACTCACAGGCTAAGTGAAAAACTAGGTTCTAAATATATAACACATATTAGACTGCATAAGTGCCAAGAGAAATGTCTATCAATTAGTAGTGTGAGTACCTATACACTCCCACCTTTCCTAGGTACTACAAAAGCCTCTAACCTCTCTATACCTGTTTCCACTTGTAAAAATAATACTTCTCCTGCCTACTATAGAGATGATAGACGTTTCAAATAAGTAAAAAGCATTTTCTTTAGTATTCTTTAATTGAATTCTAATTTAGCCTGAGATGAGAATGGTATGAAACAGCTTTCAAAGCCCAATGATAAACACGTGAAGTCCATAAAAGGGAAATATAACAGCCTTTACCTCGATGTTGCTGCAAAGTCCTCCAGCAGCCCTGTGCTGGACCCCTTTGTTCAGTGTTCTTATCCTTGGCCAAACATTAAAATCCCCTGAGGAGCTTTAGCACCTGATGCCTAGAAGGCACTCCAGACCAATTAAATAAAAAACCTCTCCTTGAAGTCAAGATGCATCTAGATTGTCTGCAGCTGATTTGAATAAAAACAATTTCTCCAAAAGTAATTTAGTTTAAAAAAAAACCACGCTGGATATCAGGACAATTCAGTCAAAACACAACTCACCTGAAATTAATTACCCCAGTAATGATTTTTGACAAAGTTAAAATATGGAGTAGTTTTGTAACCCTTTGTATGTACAGAGGTCATTTAACGATTTGCTTGTTTGATTTTGAAATTTGTTTTCTACTCTTTAGTCTTTTAAATCCTGGTTTGATGGTTAGCCACTATCCACACTCTGCATGATTTGAAATAGTGAAACAGTGATTCAGCCTCCATGTAAATGTTCACCACCATGAGGTGACTTTACCAAATTAGCCTGTTTCACCTATCAGCTCAGGGAAGAAGAAAACAAAGTACAATGAGATTCCTCCCACCCATCTCCCATCCTACACACGTACAAAGTTTACTTTATCAAGAACCTATAGTCAGTCTGCACCATCTTCTTTTTCTCTAAAATTTGATCAAACTGCAACAGAAAGTCAGGCATCGATGGTCCCAGTCTCACGAAAAGCCCTGTCAAGCCAATGGCAAGTCTGTGGTAAAAAAATCCCCTTTCTACAAGAAGAGAAGGTTAGAAATGACTTTGACCTCAAGTCCACTGACCCCAAAGGAATAAATGTTCCTGCAACTTGCTATATATATATATATATATTTTTTACCTCTGATTCCTCTCTCCAACACGCGCGCACACGGACACACACGCACACAGCATGTTATGTGTGTTTCTATTTCTTGCAATCAGAGAATCCCTGGAGCAATGTAAATGTGCGATAATTTGGTGGTTTTGCCTAAATAAATTACAAAGTAATTTGTGCCACATGCTTTGATTTTTACAGGAAATATGCACACTTATATGATTAGAAAAGACTACGGATATAAAAATACCATGTGTTAATATTAGTTATCTCTTGAGGGTGGGTTGGTTTATGGCTTTGTTTTCCCTCAAGCAAATTTTTCATATATTATTGCTATGGACATACATTGCTTCATACTAAAAAAAAAAATCAGCAAAAGGATTCCTGTTGTTGAAGATTTTGGTTATTACAAGAAATTCTCTATTTTTAGACAGTTTAATGTAGTGCAAGGTGAAGAGCCTGGGTGCTAAAGCCACAAGCTTCTTTCCTTTTTTTTTAAAGCTGAAATTCTTAGAGCTGACTTTCATGAAGAAACTGAATTAGTCAGGAAGTGTGAACTGAGTGCAGGTTTACACAAAAATTTCATATAAAGGGCATTTCAGGCAAAAATGCCATTTCATCAATTGGTTTTTGCTGCATAACAAACCATTCCCAAATTTAGTGGTATTAAATAACAATCACAAATTTAACTCAAAACTCCATGAATACAAATTTGGGCTGGCCTCCCTCGTGCATCTGTGGGCAGATGTGGCTCTAGACGTCTCTTACTCCAGCAGGTTAGAGTTGGCCTGCTTTCCTGGCAGCTGTGCACGCTTCAGATAGAGAGTGAGAGAGAGAAACATACAGGATCTCTTGCCTAGGCTCTGGAACTCACACAATGTCAATCCAGTGCATGCATCTCAAGTATTTTGTCCTCGCCTAAGACAGGATGAGGGGTTACTTTTATCATCTACCAGATGGACACTGGAAATTCCTAAAAATGCCCATCCTGGACAAAAAGTTATAATAGGACTGATAGGAAGGGTTTCATCACCTTTCTGGGTTGATTTTACCAAACTGGTAGGATGAGTGATGATTTTATCAACATCACAACCACCACCACGATCATTATCTTCAGCTAAGGTTTATTACAAACCTGGCAGGCACTGTGCTAAGTGTTTTATACAAACCATCAGCACAAAATCTTCATGCACTGTTGGGCTGTACCTCACAGGCCTATAAGGCCTGTACTTCCCCAGCTTCAAGACTGAAGAAAGAACCTGGAGTCAGCCACAGAGACATCCGTGGTTTAATAAATGAGGGTATCTTACATATCAGAAGCAAGGTCCTGGAGCAGTACCCCACTGTGTGCAGCAAACGGCTGTCTGGCTGGCAGGACAAGGCGGCAGTCCTCGCTCCTGGGGGGTGATGAGAAGTTAGCAATTATAGGGGGGAGTTGACATCAGGTTGGCTCATTGGTTACCAGGGAAACCAGCAGAGAGGCACGCCCCTCACAGCCCCTTTCATAAGCTCTCGT